TCCCTTTCTTCAGGTGATATGATTCTACACATCAGAAAACCTAACCAAATGACTATTAGAATTGATAAATGAATTCAGTAAAGTAGCAGGATACAAAATCAAGGCTAAAAGTCAGTGGCTTTTCTATACACCAATAATGACACCAATAATGAATTTTCCAAGAAAAAAAATCATGACAGCAATCCACTTGCAATAGCTACATAAATAAACAAACTAGGAATAAACCAGAGGAATTCAGGACTTTTAACTATGAAAACTGTAAAACATTGATTGATGATACAAAAATTAATTTTAAAAACAAATAAAAGGAAAGGAAAGATCTCCCATTCTCATGAATTAGAATAATTAATGTTGTGAAAATATCCATAATACCCAAGTGATCTATAAATTCAATGCAATCTCCATCAAAATATAATGACATTCTTACAGAACTAGAAAAACAACTCTCAAATTCCTATAGAAGCATAAAAGACTCCAAAGAGCCAAAGCAATCTTGAACAAAAGGAACAAAAAAGAGCGGTATCATAATACCTGATTTGAAGACATATTGCAGAGTCATTGTAGCCAAAATAGTATGGTATTGGCTTAAGAACAGACACAGATCAATGGAACAGAACAAAGAACCCAGACATAAATCCGCACATCTACAGCCAGGTTATTCTTAATAAGGGTACCAAAAACAGATTGGTCAAAGGACAGTCTCTTTAACAAGTAGTCCTGGGGAAACTGAATATCCACATACAGAAGTTTGAAACTTGATCCCCTTCTCTCACCCTGTACAAAAAGTCAACTCAAAATGGATCAAAGACTAATATACAACATGAAACTACAAGAAAATTTAGGGTATGTTCTTCATTGGTACAGGCAATGATTTTCTGGATAGCCCCCCCAAGAGCACTGGAAACGAAAATGAAAAATAACAACTAAGATTAAAATAAACTAAAAAGCTTCTGTGCAGTTTAGGACATAATCAACAGAGTGACGAGACAATCTACAGAAGGGGAGAATATGCCACCTCTACGTGTGAAAAGGAGTTAATTTATAGAATATATAAGAGCATGAAAAACTTAACAACAAAAAAAGTAATCCCATTTAAAACTGGGCAACTGATCCGAATAGACAATTTCTCAAAAGAAGAAATACAATGGCCAATTAAATTATGGAGAAAAGCTCAATATTATTAGCCATCAGGTAAACCCAAATCAAAAGTACAAGAAGAGACCATCTCACCTCAGTTATAATTGCTGTTACCAAAACCAAGCAAACAAAACCCCTCAAAATAACAAAAGCTGATGAGAATGTGGGAAAAAATGAACTTTTTATACACTGTTGGTAAGAATGTAAATTAATATACCCATTATGGAGGTTCACAAAAATTACCCAATATAGGTCTACCATGTGATCCAACTCTTCCACTCCTGGGGAATATAGACAAAGAAAGTGAAATTAGCAGACCAAAGAGATATCTACATACCCATTTTTAATGTAGCATTATTCACAATAGCTTAGATATGGGATCATCTGAGTTGCTCATCAACTGATTAATGGATTTTTTAAAAAAAATGTGGTATATAAGTACAATGGACTGAGCCATAAAGAATGAAATTCTGTCATTTGCAGCAAAATGGACAGAAGTGGAGGTTATCATGTTAAGCAAAACAAGTCAGACACAGAAAGACAAGAATCACATGTTCTCTCTCCTATGTCAAAATGTTTTAAAAATGTTTACCTGAAAGTAGAAGAGTTATTACTCTAGCCTAGAAAGGGTGGGTGGGTGGGCAGCAAGGATATAAGAAGTGTGGATGGGCATGATCAATGCAAAATGCATGCATTATGAAAATCCCACAATAAATCACATTAATTTGTATAATTAATGTCAATAATTAAAAATTATATAACAACTCCATGTCCAATTTATTGTATTTGAAGAGTCAGAGTTCACTTGGGAGGGGAATTCTGGTGATAGGCGCACAGATACACCATTTTTTAGATATACTAGAGAGTTCAGATTTTATGTGCCTATAGTACTTTTGGAGGTTTACTAAGATTGGTTAATATTTATTTTTAGGACAAACACAAGGAATCCAGCTAAACTACAGATGGCTGTGCAATGGTGTTAAGTTACCATTTTTAAGGCCTCTTTTTTCTTAACAAATTTTTCTTTTTCAAAACTCTGTTATTTTCCACTTTAAAATGTAAGACAAGATATACAAAAGAGAATAAGGAATTCATACAAGTTTATAGGTAATACTGAATCAATAAGCAAGAACAGGTGACCCTGAGGTCACTGTGCACTTGCATTTGGGGAAAAAGAGTCAAAAACTGTTGTTCCCAACAGTACCAACTGCTATTTTGCCAAAGGGGTCAATTCCATGGTCAGAGCTAGGCAAAAAGAAGAAAGGCCACCTGACCCACTGAACAGCAGAAGCTGCTGCCACAATGCCCCTCCATTGTTTTGGAGGGTTAACAACGACAGTGAGAAGAGACAAGAAGGAAAGCTTTGTCCTGTGCTGGGTCAAGAGAAGATGAATTATGTCCCCCAGCATCTTTTACTCGTCCATCCAAAAATGATTTAACACATATTGATAAAGTCTCCATAACAGGCCAGATAGTCTTCTACCAATCACAGTCCACAAATATGCATAAGGCATATTTAGAATTAGAAGAACTTTGTCTTCTAAATTGGGGATATGAGACACACATAACAGGGGGGAAAGGAGCTAAATGTACAAGACACTGAAAGTGCCACCATGTGGTACAGACAACAAATACTGTGGGAGTGAGTGGGACCAGATGGAGATTGCTACTGAAAGCACTTCGAAAGAATTTCAGAGAGGCAGATAAAAAGGTAAAATGTCAGCTTTGCGACTAGTTTGGAGAAATGTTCTAAAAAAGCTCACTTTGCAGTCAGTTCACAAAGCCTCCTAGTACACGGGTACCAAGTCCTTTTGAAATGTGAGGTCTGATTCCCAGAGGCCTTCAGACAGAGTACAAAGTAGGAGCAGGTGATAATGAAATAATCCAGGCTCCAAGAAAGGACACACCCACCACCATCTCTGGCAGGGCTTCAGCAGCTCTCTTGGCAGCAACAGAAGGTCATCAGAGTCACTCCCATCCTGGACCTTTGAGAAATCAAGTATTTTGGAAGCCAGGGCAATCTATATTCATTACTAATTGAAATTAATCATCAATTAAAACTTAGGTGATGATTTTTGCAAGGGAAGAAAATTGGCATTTATTGAGCCACCTACGTTGTGCCAGCTGGTAGCCACTTTCCATTTCTTCCAGTAAAACACACACAACTATCCTTTGAGGTAGACACCTCAATCCCATTTTACAGATGTGGACACTGAGGACTGGAGGGGTTAAATAAGAGGCCCACTCTCACCCAGAGCTGGGAACTAGCTTTGTATCTGACCCAACAACCTTCCCAAGACTCTGCTCCCACATCAGGCTGCCTCTTAAAAGTGCCATTAAAAGCCAGCAAGATGGAACTTTTGCTAATCAGACACATCCTTTCTGAAATGAACGATTTAAATCCTTTCAGATCAGTGCCAGGAACAAATTCCAAAGAACTGACTTCCTCTGTGTCAGATCAATGGCCCTTTGTGAGCCTTTCTTCCGGGGGACCCTTCTAATTAGATCTTGAAAATTAAATCTCTGACAGGAGAGGCTGTTTGGTTGGTGCTTTGGGAATTGTTTTGATGTTTGCTTTTCAAATTTTGTAGCAACTTAACAGTATCCAAGAAAATCATAAGGAAAAATAGAGAATAACATTAGAGAGGTCTGTAAAGCAGGAGAAGGGATTACACTATTTTTACTTAGCCATTTAGATGAAATGTATATATACTCGTGGCTGACATGTATTTGATCAGAGAGAACAGAGTTACAGTCTCTATTCCCCCCCCAAAAAAAAAAATTTTACACCAACCAAAGAGAAACTGGGATATCAGGACTTAAGAAATCTATTAGCCACCCACTTTAGAAAGAAGGAGGAAAATAAATAATACTGAAAACATCTTCTTTATTTCTATTTGTTAGAAGAAAAAAGAAAGAAAATGACACTTATCATTAGAAATGGGTTGAATGTGCCTGTTTGGTAGGAAACTAATATGTAAAAGGGTCTCACCTGTAATTCTGGGTAACATCAGGAACAGTGAGGCTAATGTGAAAGCCTCCTCATCAGGAAACTAATGGAAGTAGCAGAGAAATCTCAGGGCTCTAACCTAACTCATGACAGCTTTAAAAGGAAATAGTTTTTGAAATCCTCTGTTCTCTTCAGATGTATTTTGAGTTCCAATGTCATGAGCCCCATTGTCAGGGAAGTGTGCAGGACTGAGAGGCCAAGTCTTGCAAGTGGTGATAGTGCTCAGAATAGGTATGGAGGGAGAGAAAGAGCCCACATTTACTGGGTACCAGCTGAGATCATCTTGCTGAATCCTCACAGCAACTTTTTAGAGAAAGGGAAGTGTATAGAGAAATGAGTACCCAAGACCTAGGACTGTACTAGAGTTTTGGGGACTTTATTTCTTTATCAATAAGGAAATGGAGCCACAAAGAATTTGAGTTCTACCTTAAGATTCTAGAGCTATGACTGAGGATGTCTGGATTTAAACCATTTCTATCTGAAACTCTCCATTCCTCTACTCTTTCCCCCATAAAAGGCTGGGGCCAAACCTTGTGTGGCATCAATACTGAGCAGATAGCTTGCACGTAACAAGTGCTCCATAAACAGGGGTTGTCACTGTGGCTACAAAGGGCAAGCTTTCCTTTTGGCCTGTACACATTGCCTATCAGAGGATTCACTTTGGATCTTTGCTCTGCCTCCTTTGTGACCTACTCATATTTCATTGGGCATTCAATTTTGTTTTTTATCTCACAACTGAAACCATTGTAGTCTTCCCCATAAGTGAAAGAACTAAAGGAGGGTGGGTTGAGAGAAAAAGAGCAATAAAAGTCCAGTAGACAGAAATGCAGCCCACATTTTATTACATACTTACAGGAACAGTATTTGACAGAGAAGCCCAAAGCATTAGCAACACATAATTTGGATTTAGTTTATTTGTTTCCATCTCCAGAATCTCCAGCACAGCCTGCATTAATGTCTGTTTAAAATAAATAAATACTGTCAAACCATGGCTATGTGACAAAGAGAGATAACAATAAGCATAAAAGTATGCATTTTTATTTAATACAAAAGAAAATATCCTTGTCATTTCCAGACTTCAATTTGAGGCATGCTAAGGGATTGATGTACTTGCTGGTAGTATATCAATTAGGAATAGCAACTCCAGTGGAGTTCAATTGCATTTCTGTCTTGTTTCAAATCCTGGTTCTGCTATTTAAGAGGTGAGTGACCTTGGACAAGCTAATTTAAGCTCTTAGTACCTCAGTTTCCTCATCTGTCAAATGCACATAATATGGCATCTACCTCAAAGATTGTTGTGAGAATTAAATTAATTTATGCAGTTACCCATAAAATGCCTGGAGCAAAACCTGGTTCATATTACGATAAATGTTACCTTTTAAAAAAATACATTTCTGCTCTTAGGAAAATGTAAGCAATCCAGGAACAAAGATTAATTGCTTAAAATATCTAATGTACTCCTCAGTCTATACCCAAAGGACTTAAAAACAGCATATTACAGGAACACAGCCACATCAATGTTCATAGCAGCACAATTAACTATAGCTAAACTGTGGAACCAAACTAGATGCCCTTCAATAGGTGAATGGATTAAAAAATGTGGCATATATACACAATGGAAATTACTCAGAAATAAAAGAGAGTAAAATCATGGCATTTGCAGGTAAATGGATGAAGTTGGAAAAGATAATGCTAAGTGAAGTTAGCCAAACCCAAAAAACCAAACGCCGAGTGTTTTCTCTGATATAAGGAGGCTGATTCATAGTTGGGTAGGGAGAGGGAGCGTGGGAGGAATAGATGAACTCTAGATAGGGCAGAGGAGTGGGAGGGGAGGGGAGAGGACACGGGGTTAGAAATGATGGTGGAATGTGATGGACATTATTATCCAAATTACATGTATGAAGACACAAATTGGTGTGAATATACTTTGTATACAACCAGAGATATGAAAAATTGTGCTCTATATGTGTAATAAGAATTGTAATGCATTCCGCTGTCATATATAAATGAAAAAATAACTAAAAAATATCTAATGTAATCCTTCTTATTTTCATCTTTAAAAGCTTCCCCTTGACAGTGTGGTGGTGCACACTTGTAATCCCAGCAACTCAGGAAGCTGAGTCAGAAGGATTACAAGTTCAAAGCCAGTCTCAACAACTTAGCAAGGCCCTAAGCAACGTGGCAAGCCTCTGTCTCAAAATAAAAACTAAAAAGGGCTGGGAAAGTAGCTCAGTGGTAAAGTGGCCCTGGGTTCAGTTCCCAGTACCAATAAATAAATAAATTTGAAATTACTTTGTAAAAGGTAACATTGTGACTGGTACAGAATAAGTACTGCATACATATAAGCTTCCATCTCATTATCACTTCTATAATAATGGATTAACAGAAATAAAAATGGTTTAAGTATAAATCTCATTTACTTCTTTGTACTGTAAGTTGTTACAAATATAAGTTCTATCTCATGAAAATCTTATAGGTGTATTTCATTCTTCTTACATGTTATTCTGTGGTGTGATGATTTTAAATAAAAAAATCAGTATAATATATATATAGAATAACATGGAAGATCATCAAAATTTGCATTTCTTTTATAATAAAATACATGTATAATTTTTAAATATATGTATAATTTTTAAATATATATTTTAAAATATATACATGTATTTTAAAATACCATGTATAATTTTTTAAATATATATGTTTAAATACAATTTCTATCTAGTGTTCTGCAAATCAGTCCTTATATAGTAGAATATTAAAAAAAATTCTTTATTTTTTCCAAGCCCACATTAAAGAAAAAAAGATAGTGGTGGGTGGAGGGAGACAAGCTCAGAATGAACACTGCTGAAGAAAAACAGAGAAACAATACAACAAAAAATGAAGTCCATGAATGTTGAAGCTATATATTTTTTCCCCAAAGTCTCAAATGTTGGGTTAACTTATGCAAAGTTCAGATTTTGTTGTTATTCAAATAGGGAACCAAAGTACTTATGATTTAAAATGCCTCGTTTCTTTACGGTAAGAAAAATAAACTTTATTCTACAGATATAAAGAATTTTAGCTTGAGATTTTAAAATCCTATTTTCTAGGCTCATAGATTACAGATGTGGGTTTACCTTCCATACATTTCTCTGTCCCTAACCCCTGGAAAGCATTACAAACAAAAATGTATGTTTGTCTATGTGTATCTGTAAAAAGGACATGTTTCTTGAGCATTTCTGTCAATGAGAAGCATTCCAGAATAGCATTCTGTTTCTTTCTTTAGGAGGGAGACGTGTGAGCATTCACATATTTCGTTCTTCTAAGCCTCTATTCTTCTCCAGAGTTAAGTTGTTTGGAACAACTCTTATTGTACAACTAAAGACAAGTAAAGATGACAAGTGATGTCATCTTTAAGTATGAAAAGAGTTGAAGTGATTTTTAAAATGATTACAGTGCTGAACTCTTAACTAGTCCTTACTATGTTTTAAGCACTTAAAAATTAACTCATTTAATCCCCACAATGACTCTATGAGATACGTGAGGAAACTGAGGCCAAGAGTTCAGATACTGCCCGTGGTCACAACTGGTGACCACATTTGAGTCCAAGCAGCCCAGACCAAAAGAAACCCAGGTTCTTGGGGGGCGGGGGGCATGCAACAGATCAGATCATTATCAAAAGTTCCTAGAGGTGATTCTAATTACTGTCAGGGTGAAAACCATGCACTAGAAAGCCTCAGAAACACCTGGAAAGGCTTGTGAAACTGAATTGCTGGGCTCCAGCTACCCCAGAGCTTTCGATTCAGGGAAGAACCACAGGCATAGACTAACATTGAGGGCACTGGTCCTAGTACTTGGCACTTAAATCATACTATTCTATCTTCTCTAAAGAAAGAACAGCTGGTGGTCGTGGCCTCACCATCACGGTCTACTTTACAGAGCTATATTATCTGTCCAAACTTGCTATTAGTCCATCCTGTCACTATTGGCATAGCTGTTAAATAAAAATTATCAAAGGCTATTGTTTTGGACTAAATTCCCGCACTGGACCCCTAGAGACCAGACTAAAAATCAAACGGAGTCACCCAGGCTAAAGTTATACATCATCAAACCATAATAAAGTTGTGCTCTGACTTTCCAAGAAATCAGGAGAATGACTGACAGACAAATTTCCCAAACAGACCAATAGGCACAACATGAAGTTCCCTTTGCTTTAATCCTTAACTCCATTAATCCTTACAAAAAGTAACCAGAAGTGATCTGATATTAACCAATCAGTCATTCTATTTTGTGTGTTCGTTTTGTTTTGTTTTGGGTGCCAGGGATTGAACCTACGGGTGCTTAACCACTGAGCCACATCCCTACTTCCTCAGCATTTTTTTTTTTTTTAGCTCCTACTAAGTTCCTTAGAGCCTCACTAAGTTGCTGAGGCTGGCCTCAAACCTGAAAACTCCCTGACCCAGCCTCCCAAGCCACTGGGATTACAGATGTGTGCCACCATGCCCAGGTAGTCATTATATGGTTCTCCCTGTCCTTCATCTTTATGGGAAGTGACTTTGAAACCAATGATTATATTTTTGCTCTTTGTTTCTGTTTTTTTTTTTTGTTGTTGTTGTTGTTGTTATTAGTTTGTTTTGGTTCTATCTATGGAACCAACCTTTTCTGCTCAGCCTATCAGAATATTTATTCTATTTTCTAGAATTGCAAAATAAGGTCTATTAAGATCTTTAAACTAGATTAATTTTTTTTTCCTTTGACACAGTCAACTATATAATGACATATAAAGAATATTAGAATTTTATTTCATTGGTAGCCTCTGTTTTTTCTTGTGTAGAATAGGATTGATAACCTCAGTGTTGTGAGGATATAATAATAACATATGTCAACATGTCCAGTATATCCACTTGGCATAAAAGTAGCATTAATTAAACACATGATATTTAGTAAAAATATTTTTACAAATCATAGTTTATTACCATCTTCATCACATGTATTTTAGCAAAAGAAGCTAAAGAATACTTACCACAGAATTATCTTTTGCAGATCTATATGCTTTTATATCTGGAATACTTTTCTCAAATAGGGCTAGGAGCCACCTTTTGGATTTTGACCAGTTTCTGCATGAGGAAAAAATACGTGTGTAGAAATTAATTTGAAAGCATGTTAGGAGTAATGGGTCATAGTATAAAACAGAGAATGTCCATGGAATTATAATTATTTCTTCTAATTTCTTCTTTATTTTGGGGTAGGCTTTAATATGAGGTCTATTTCATGTGAGGTCTACCTCATATGTTCACAAGGACAACTGAGAGGACAAAGGGAAACACATTTTAGACTTTTGAAAAATGAACATCTGGATTCCTAATGGATTGGCATTGAAGAAGAAATGAGATTGTACAACTTGCTTGGATTACTTTCGCTATGACTGTTCTAAGTTTTAAAGGAGGAAAACCTGGCACCGAGACCAATTGCTAAATTATGCCTGCAAAGAAACTGGCTATCATTGTGTTAATCTTTTTAACAAGTCACCATTATATGTTGCAACAGTCTAAATGTTTGTGTCCTCTTCAAAATCCTATGTTGAGATCCTAGACTCCAAGGTGATGGGATGAGGAGGTGGGACCTTCTAGAAGATCCCCTGATGTAGGGAACTAGTTTCCTTGAAAAAGATCATGGACAGAATTTGTCCACCCCTTCTACCACACAAGGACACAGTGAGAAGTGGACAGACTTCAAGCTGGAAGAGAGCCCTCATCAGAACCGAGTCTGGCTGCAACCCTGATCTTCAACTTCTCAGCCTCCAGAACTGTGAGAAATAAATTTCTATTGCTTATGAGCCACTCAGTCCATGGTACTAAAAACAGCTCAAATGGAGGAAGGCATATAGCAACTGCCAAGAAATTAAAAACTTAGGCACTTATTGTGCATTTGAACCATTTTACAAACATTTATCTGAACCAACTGTAAGAAATAACATTTGGCCATACCTACTTTTGCTTCAGAGAGAATGGGGCTGAGACTGGTCACACTGCCTTAGCATAGATCCAAACTGAATCAGTGTCATAATAATAACTTATACGTGAAATAAAAGGCCTCAAAATAAATTCTTCATCCCTTCTTTCTCACTCCATAGCCCTCGGGATTTTGCTCATCAAAAAAAAAAAAGACAAAGAAAGAAATGCATCTCTTTTCTTCATTCCTCCCTCAATTCACATTTACATACTAAAACACAAACAGGTCATAGAATAACTCCTCTCCCACTTAAATTGCTGTTATATATACTTGGAAAAATAGAAATGAGAAGACTGTATAAATTGCTGAGAGGAGCTTGTACAAAGAATCAGTGACCTACCTCAGGAGCCATTCTGGCATCTGGGACCCATACTCAAAACCCTCATCATAAGCTTGAAAATGCTGGTAAAACTCCTTCATATTCCTCTCGTGTGTAAGAAACAAACCTTTATTAAAGAGTATATTCACTGTGACAGGATAAAGGAGATGCCTACAAAGACAGAAATACACAGTAAGCAGACACAATGACAGGAGAAGAAAGGTACAAGATACGAAAGAGGTGACTTATTTATTAGGAGTAGATACTATGTGACAATTTCTTTTGGGGAAAATCACTCTTTTTTTTTTTTGAGGTGGGGGAATTACTGGGGATTGAACCCAGGGGTATTTGATCACTGAGCCACACCCCAGCCCTATTTTATATAGAGATGAGGTCTCACTGAGTTACTTAGCACCTTGCTTTTTTGCTGAGGCCAGTTTAAACTTGCAATCCTCCTGCCTCAGCCTCTGGAACCACTGGAAAAATCACTCTTAAAAATTTTTAATATCTGCTAACTGTGGTCAAGATGATTTGGGGATAGCTGAAATTGTGGTCTTATTTATCTAAAGATTCTAAAATCCTTTCTAAGCAGACACATTAGATAAAGCCTGACAAATATGAGATAAAAAACAGAAGCAAATTGATTCAATGCAGTTCAACAAGAAAATAATAACAATGTCTAAGGTACAGCCCTTGCCTTTCAAGTAACCAGAGAATCAAGGGCAGGAGTAGTTACCAGATTTCATAATTCCTCACAGGATCCCACATATTCAAACTAGTGCATATTGAAATACACTCTGATCTTTAATATTTTTTTTACTGTAAGTGAGTAAAATGATTAATGTGACATAATTAAGAAAAGAATATCTGGGGCTGGGATTGTTGCTCAACGGTTAGAGCGCTCACCTAGCACAGGCAGGGCACTGGGTTCGATCCTCAGCACCATATAAAGATAAAATAAAGGTATTGTGTCCAACTAAAACTAAAACAAAATATTTTTTTAAAAAAGAAAAGAATATCCCCAAATACTCAATATTCAAAGATATTCTAGGACTGGGGATGTGGCTCAAGCGGTGACGCGCTCGCCTGGCATGACTGCGGCCTGGGTTCGATCCTCAGCACCACATACAAACAATGATGTTGTGTCCGCCAAAAACTAAAAAATAAATATTAAAAAAATTCTCTCTCTCTCTCTCTCTAAAAAAAAATTTAAAAAAAGATATTCTAATATCAAAGATATTTATGCCCCTTTAGGATCACTTTTCTCCAAAGTTTCAAAAACATCCAGGGATTTGCATTGTTTTATTACAGATACTATGCAAGCTTTAGCAAATTTTTAAGTTTGGTTGGTTGAGTTTGCTTCCCCCGCCCCCCCCGTCTTTCTGAACTTCTAAGAAACCACTATACATCATTCTGTTTTAAGTCAGAACTGCTGGATTTTGCCTTCAGCATTCCAGACTTCCACTGAGGTGGAAAAGAGCTTCAGGTTTTCTAATCTACCAAATCTCTTAAATCTCTTTATGTGTGGAGGGAATTTGCCCTCATAGCTTCCATGCCCAGCCTTAAACTTTTCCAGAAAGCTTTAGAACAGAGCTGATCCATCCCCGACCCCAAGCTCTCTCCTGTCTCTTGGGACCTACCTTCTAAGATAACAGTCTTAAAACAGTTCTGAGACCTACCCTGGTTTTGTCTGGACTACCTTTTGAAGTCTCACAGGTACCTCCTGGATCCTCATGATCCACTTCACCATTCCCTTTTCTCTCCTGTCCTCTCAGTGTCTGATCATCACAGACTGCTCTGAATGGTGGCTGTATGATAATTGTGAGAGGTACATCCATGTGACATATACACAATTACTAGAAGGACGCTATTGAAATTACTATAAATATATCAAAATGACTGTATTGGCTTATTTGCTTACAACAAAATTGAAGTGCTAAACTAAAATTGCACACTAATTAAAATTTAAGATTTTTTTTTAATTTTTAATAGCCTCATTTGGTAGACTTCATTAACTGTATTGAATCAGTTTGTTTCTAATTACTTCATTATACCAAGTAATTTCCAAAGTCCAATGTATCATATTAAAAAAAAAATTTAATTCCAAAAAAGCATGATTAAATCATACAAACACATTTACTTATTTACCTATTTTACCTATTTACCTTACAAAGTTGGTCAGTTCCATTGTCCCCTGAGTGCCTAAATTTTCCAATTGTTCATGTAACTCTTCAGTCAGTTGCCCAGTAAACTGATGTATGTTGAAGGTCCCCATTTTCCCTTTCATCATAATATATAGCTTTTCATTCAGTGTTAAAAAGATATTCTTTGGAATTGATGCTATAAACAGAGAAAACTATTTTCAAAACAAGCAACCACTCTTTAAAGCATACGAACAGTATACCTCTGCCAATTCTTGGTCAGTAGGGACGATTACCAAAATCCTTTTCTTACATAAAATCACATCTGGCAAGTAAATGCAGGTGAAGATTCAGTCCATACTGTGAAAAAGCACCAGTCTAGAGGGTGACTCACTTTAAGGGATGGAGAGGATTGGTTTTCTGCTTCTTCCTTCTCTAAATCTATATTCCATGCATATTCAAAATACATAATATTTTACATATCCCAGCATTTTCAGAAGCTATTCAAAATGCTCAAAACATTCTTTGTTTTACTACCCTAGCATCTACCCCCACCTACCTACCCACATTGATAAGATCCACATTTCTCTTGCTAATTTCTATTTATCCTTCTAGTATCTTCTTGAATGTTACTTATACCAAAAAGCCTTTTCAAATCCCATGAATAACTGACTCCACTATTTCCTTTATATTCATGTTCTTTTCACAATATACACTTCCAGTTAGGTAGGGGTAGTCGAAATATAAGGTATTTTAAAAACATATCTCCTTAGATTTTTCTTTTATCTTGTTGTATTGTCTCTGAAGTATCTTTTATCAAATATAAAAATATAATTTTACATTTCGTCATCTTATTATGTGTAGGTTATATTTTGTAAGTTAATTAAAAATAAGCTCTAGATTTCCTGAGCATATATCTTCTCTATGAGAATTTTAAAAAGGAATGGGAAACTGGCTTAAGAGTAAATATTATCATATTTATTTTTTAAAATATTTTTTAGTTGTCAATGGACCTTTATTTTATTTATTTACATGCGGTGCTGAGAACCGAACCATGTTACATGTTAGGCAAGGGCTCTACCACTGAGCCACAACCCCTGCTCCTATTATCATATTTCATCTATTAAACAGAAATATTTATACATAAAAGGCCCCAGGAGAGGCTCAGATGAAAATAAAAGATAATTTCCATAATCCTCAATAGGTAAGTTAGTATATTTTTTTCCTAAAAGGATATGTTACCATACAGATTAAAAGCCTTCAAAATATTTATATTTCTTGATCAGAAATTCCACAACCCATATATCACTAAGCACCAAATAGTGTTTAACCAACATGTGATTTTCATGCAAGCAAGAAGAAAAAAAACAATTATGTTATTGATCACTGAGAAATTTAAAACTTTTTGTCTTAAGAGCAAGAAATGAATGAGAGTACATGAAGAAGAAAGAAAGAAAGAAAGAAGACGTAGATGGTAGAAACAAGTGCAAACATTGTGAAAGCAGAGAAAACACAGAGTGAACCAGCTTTGCATTTGGGGAAGGACGAATAGCTTCAGCACACAAATCCACAGCCTGGGAAGAAAGGAAGGCCAACAGCCACAGTAGAAGCACGCCCCCACAACAAGCCAGCAGTCTCTAAATTAGATGGGGAATTTGTGAACAGGCAAGCCAGGCCCTAGCTTACCTTACTAGCCCTGTTGGATATGTCAGGAAAAGCCATTCAAGGGCTTCCTAAACAGAAAGTGGAGCAACAACATGTAATCAAGCCAAGAGCTGTCATCACAGCTGCAGAACAGTTTTACCAACATTTTGGGTACTGTAACTTGATACACACTCCAAATACTCTTTAAAAACACTCAGTGAGGTAACCCCATCTCTTTCAACATGTCTAACTGAAGTCTAAAAGTATCAGCCTGCCAATAATTTGCCCTTCAATGACCAGAAAAGTTCATCCCATGCTATTTTCTCCTTCTAGTTCTACCTGGAGAATAAAGTAATGGGCCCTCATCATTCTTGATGGAAGCGTAAGGATGTAATTTTTGCCTTCAACTTCTCTTGAATTCCAACATTGTACTTCAAATGAACTACCTGAATGTATTATTTACCTGTACGATAGACAGGAGTTTGTACTGCTAGCTCAAAATTTACTTCTTTGGATTTTAGAAATACGTTAATTCCCTCTTCTTCAGTAACAAATGTCATTCGGTTTCCCATAGCAAAGACAGTAAATATTGGTCCATACTGAAATAAAACATAGAAACACATTTTATATTAATAAGCATTTCTAAGAATGATTACATTTTCCTCAAGAACTCCAATACTGAAATTATGGTCATGATAAAAATTATTAGGACTATATCTGATAATTAATTATAAATTTTGACTGTTTCAACCATGTTGTTATATAAATCCAAATTTATTCTGTCCTAATAATGTCTAATAAGATAGTTATTATTAACTCATATCTTCCTTTCTTATAGTATGAAATAATAATTATTATTATTATCATTATTTATTCATTTATTTATTTGGTATTGGGGATTGATCCCAGGGAATCAATGCCTTCTTTCTCCAACTTTACCACTCAGCCACATCCTCAGCCCTTTCACGTTTTATTATTCTGAGATAGGGTCTTGCGAAGTTGCTAAAGGTCACACTAAGTTGCCGAGGCTAGCCTCAAACATGAGATCCTCCTGCCTCAGTCTCCCAAGTCGCTGGGATTACAGGCATGTAATCCTAACATTGCCTGGCATCATAAAATAATTATTAGAAAACAATAATTATAAATAATAACTAGAGAATTTATCAACATTATGATATAAACTATTGTTGTCAAGATATCAATAGGATTATAAGCAACTAATAGCTTGACATTACTCAAGAACAAGACACAAAATTACCAGCTGCTTTTATAGGAAATCCATGGTCACTCAACTATGTCTTGCAAACTCAAACACTTTTCTGTCCATTAACCTGTCCACTTTCTTATTTTCCAAAATAGCAATTTTACCTGTACTTCTTACTCAACTCTCTCCTTCTGAGACCCTGTTAAAAGATCCTGCCTTATAACTAACTGGAAAAGATGCAGGCAATGAACTGAGAGCAGCCTCATCTTCTGAGCACTGCATCTGGCTAATCAAGCAAATTTGTGCCCATTCCCCCAGCTTTCCCTCCTGTTAACACGGACAGAAGTTCCCGCTCCTGTGAATCACCAACTCCTTCCCTGTCTTATGGAACCTCTCCTCCCTTGCTTTCTCTTTGTTCTACATTTTGCCTTTATCTCCCACCTCATTTTATTTTCTCTCTCTCTCTCTCGAGACACTCCTAGCAGCCTATAAAACATACTCTAGCATGAAGTTTCACTTCAGGGAGTCCATCATCTTGCTGGGAAATAGGGATGTCATTTTGGTGAATTCCAACTATAATTGAGTATTTGATTTAATGATGAATGTAGGCAAAAAACCATACTCTTACCCATGATTCTATCATCATAAGAAACCACACTTTCACAGCCCATTACAGTTATTATAGATGTCTCAGAACATCATTTATGCTCATTGCTACTTCAATAACAGTCATTTCTACACCTATAATGAGATGGCAGATGATTACTCCTATGATACATTTGTGGGTGCTACCAGGCAACTGTGGGTCCAAGAATCACTGCATTGCTAGAAAGTGAAGCCCATCCTCCCACAGTGATGACCCAGACATCGGCATTGCTTTTCAATATTACCAATATTATTTCAATTATTTACTAATCAATACTTAGAAGACAAGTCTTTTTCATTGTTTGACAGCTGCTCACCTCATGGTGGCCAGGAAGCAGAGCATAATGTGGCAGGGAGATAAACCCTTCCAGGGCACATCCCCATGAGCTTCTTCCTCCAACAGGTCCCATGTCCCAGTAGTCCAATCATCCATAGTTGGATCAGTCCACCGGATCGGTCAGAGCCCTCATGATCCAATTACTACCCAAAGCCCTAACTCTGAACACATGAGATCTGGAAGGAGACAGTCCAGATCTAAACCATAACATGGAAGGTGGCCTTTTGCCACATGGATGGGTAGGGGCTAAAATCTAAGGACTATTTCCTAGACCTAGATTAAGATTATAGTCTCTATGGTTTTTTCCTAAAAGTTTTATAGCTTTATGTTTTACATTAAGTTCATGATCTATTTTGAATGCATTTTTGTTTAAGATGTAAGACTTAGGTTGATGGGCACATTTTGGTGTTTGGAGGTCAGTTTGTTTTGTTTATTGAGACAGGAATTTGAGGATACAGAAAAAGAAAGATATACTAAATCTCCAAAATAAATAAATAAAGTGCCTACTGGGATGCAGGAAATGACCATGAACCACTGGAATGCAAAACAAGCAACTTCTGAGCAACCCAGCTCCTGCCCTTGGCTGGCAACCTTGCCCCCAACGTAATATGAGGAGAAGGCTAGGAAAACTAGTGTGAAACCCTGTAACTCTGCCCTGACTCTACCTCCAGCCCAGCCCTAGTACTGTCCCTCTATAGATATTAATGTCCCAAACCAAGGGGTTGCTGTCTCTTGCTCTCTGTCTCTTTCAATAGACCATATCAGTATCATTTTTTCCTAAATTGTTGAAACTGGTGTATGCTGAAATTATTTTCCTTTATGTATGCCAAAGATCCCACTTGTCCTGAGTTGAAATCCCACTTGTCCTGAGAACTCCTCCAGTGACAGTTAAGAGTATCAAACTACTTCATCGCCATTGGTTGAGAAGGCTATCTTTACTCTGTTGAATTAGTTTTGCACCTTTGTCAAAAGACGAGTTAGCTATTGGTATGGGTCTCTTTCTAAATTCTCTAGTCTGTTCTAGTGATCATTTTCTCTATCCCTTTGCCAATATCACACAATCTTGATAAATAATAAGTTTTAAAACTGAGTGGAATGATTTCATCTACTTTTCTTTTTCAGAATTGTTTTAGGTGTTCTAGTTCCTTTGCCTTTCCATATAATTTTTGGAATAATCTTGCTTATATTTACAACAAATCTTGCTGGGAATTTGATAGTATTTGCATTAAACTGGATTTCAATTTGGGGAGAACTGATATCTTTACTATGATGACTTTCTCAATCCATGAATACAATGTATCTCCCACTTACGACTTTTTAAATCAGTGTTTATAGATTTCAGCATGTAAGTCATGTACATATTTGGTGAATTTATATCTACATATTTTTTTCTAAATGGTTATAAATGGCATTATATTTTAATAATGGTTTCCACATATTCATTGTTAGTATATAGAAATACAACTGAAAATTGAATAAGACCTTACAAAACTTCTCAAGAGGTTTATTTATTTATTTATTTATTTTTATTTGGTATTTTCTACACAATTCTAGAATCTGAAAACTGGGACAATGTTATTTCTTCCTTTCCAAGCATATGGCTTTAATTTATTTCCTTGCTTTGTTGCACTGGTAAATGTTCCAATACTGTGTTTATTAAGAATAGTGAAATCAGAAATCTTTGCTTTGTTCCCAATCATGGAGGGGTAACATTAGTCTTTCATCATTTAGTATCCTGTTAGCTATATAATTTGTGTTGACATTCTTAATCAAGTTGAAAAACTTCCTCTCTATTCCTAATTTTCTGAATTTTTTTTATCATGAATAAATACTGAATTTTGTCAAATGCTTTTTCTATACCAAGTGATATAATCATACACTTTTTTCTCTTGTAGCCTATTGATATGGTGCTTTATATTGGTTGATTTTCAAATATTAAAATGATCTTGAATCCCTGGTAATTACCCCTACTTGGTAATTCCTTCCATATATTGCTAAATTTTATTTGTTGATTTTTTTATAGGTTTGCCTGTGTATTCATATAGAATACTTATCTATTTTTTTTTTTCATTTGCACTTTCTTTGGTTTGACATCAGAACAAGAAGCATTCCCTTCTCTTCTACTTTCTGAAGAGATTGCATATAATAGATTGTTACTTCTTTAAACATTTGGTATAATCTCCCAGTGAAACAATCTGGACCTAAAGAATTCTATTAGGGGAATTTAAAAATTACAAATTCAATTTTCATAGTAGTATAGCCTATTTAAATTATCTATTTCTTATTGAATAGTAGTGGTAGTTTGTGTTTTTCTGGGAGCTGGTCCATTTCATCTAAGTTGTTAAATTTATGTATGCAGGGTTATTCATAGTATTCCATCATTCTTTTGATGTCTACAGGGTCTACAGTGATATCCCCTGTTTCATTACTAATACTGGTCACTTCTGTCTTCTGTCACTCTTACATGAGGTCTGGCAATGTTATTGATCTTTTAAAAAGACCAACTTTTTCTTTCATTGATTTTCTCCATTGCTTTTTTTCTGTTTTCAATTTCCTTGTTTTCTGCTTTTTAAAATTTCTTTCCCTCTGTTGCTTTGGGATTATCTGGCTGCTTTGGGTGAGTCTTGAGGCAAAAGCTCAGATTATTAACTTCAGGTTTTTGTTTTTTTCTAATATAAGTACTTAGTGATATAAACTCTGATGTTACTTTTTTCTTCATTCAGCTCAACGTATTTTGTATTTCGCATGAGACAAGTTAAAGACTCAGAACAGTAGAAAAATAAGGAATAGAAAATGGATGTATCGTGAAAATTGGAATAGCTCTAATAATATTAGAGAAAGTTGATTTTAACTCATGATACATTACTACATGTAAGGCCATCAAATAGCTCTTCAATGGGAAAATAGTGTCCTTAGTTAAGCCATTTTAATATAGAGAACTGTGTTTGGGGGAAGTTGGTTTGCTAGCTGTATTTTGTACTCTTATTTATGGATTTCAGCACTATAAATGTGGTGGGAGGAAGATACCATTTCATTCAATCAAGTCTGAAAAAATAATGATGCTAATTGTGTCAACAACTTTCCAAGAGTTTTATGGAATTATTCACTATCATTTTTACAAAATATCCAAACTTGTCCTAATGCATTTTGGGATATTGTTTGCAAATAGTGTTTCCATCATGTCAACAAATAGATGACCTTAGCTGTCAATGGGCAGCCTGAGACACATACTATTAGACCTTTAAAATTACTTTCATAGTCAAAATACTAGAGATTTTATCAAAGTCTTATGCTTAAAAAATTGTAAATCATAATTAAAGACTGATATAACCAGACTCAGTTTGAAATATAAACAAAATCCTGTCTCAAAATTTTCAAATATTGGGTTTTCAACATGTTTTTTGTTTTTGTTTTTGTTTTCCTTTTGTGAGCTTCTAACTAAAAATAGAGCATCAGCCATCTAGTGCTCAATTAGGGTAGGACCTGCTGTCAAGGTCATGGTGGGCAGCAGGATTCAGTTTTCCACAATCCTTAGTTCTTAACTGGCTGTGGGCCAGGGCCTCCCTCTGTTTCCTATCTTATGGGTCTCTCCATAAAATGTGTGAGTTGAGAAAAAAATAGAGTCTGTTATCCAAAGGAAGGCTTAAGGACACAAGTCACATCCCATCATGTATGCCATATTTTACTCATTAGAAGGGAGTTACTAAGTTCTGCTGACACCTCACAGGAGGTAATTATACATGGGAATGGGTTGCAAAAGGTGGGGATCATTATGAATTATTTTAGAAATATACCCCACATGATTATCAATGTGGAAACATGTTAAATAAAGTTAGGTATATCCATACATCTTAAAAAAAAACATTGAAAGTTCTAGATAGTACTGATAAGTAAATATTTCAGTATCTTTTAACCAAAAAACAGTGGGTAGTATGATGCATTTTGCGTATAAAAGATGGATAATAAGAATCTATAATTGTATTTGTTTGTACACAGTTAAAGAAACTATGAAAGGATATATAAGAAATGAATTAGTATTACCAAGGCTGGGAATAATGGGTAAAGAACTGAGTGGCAATGAAACAGAGGTCAGAGAGATGTTTCACTGTAGTTTTTATTTTTTTCAAAAAAAATTGAACTATATTGATGCATCATCTACTCAATTACTAAATAAAAATAAAGGGAGGATTTTTACAGTCGCTAAAGCTTTCTCTTCTCTGCCTTCTCCAGGGGCAGAAGAAGCTGAGGGGGCAATCTCTCATGCTGAGACTTTAAGTGGTTCAGTATGCAGTTAGTGTTTCCTACAGTAGCCACTTAAATGCAGTTTTCTGTCAAGGCTACCAATTAGAAATTACTGCAGCTACCATGAAAAAGCAGAATGCACCCTCCACTCAAAATCTGGTTCCAATGTCAAGACTGATGATGTCACCCACACAAGAATGGTGTATGGAAAGGTTTATTACTTACACAATGGGCTTTTCTGGGAAGAAAACCACTTGTCTCCCAAGATGATCTGAAAATGGCTTAAGAAAGCAAATCTCCCCTGGGGGGTTTAATTACAGTCAGAAATGCTGATCTGCTTGAGGGTTATTTTTAAAAAAGTTTTATTTAAGTATAACTGACATACAATAAATTGCATATTAAAGTATACAGTATGCTAAAATTGGCATATATATATTATATATATTATATATAATATATATAATATATATATGTAATATATATATATAATATAATATAATATATATACATACATACCTGTAAAATTGCCACAATCAAGATAATCAATATATTATTCACCTCCAAGATTTTTGTATTCCCAATAGCCTTTTAATGAATTTGTTTTTCTTTATAGTTGCTTATTTTTTACACAATAGTGAGATTTGTTGCTACATACTCATACACTCACACAATATAACACAATTTGATCAATTTCATCCCCTAGTAAGAGTTGGTGTTTTTTACAGTTTAAATCTCCCCTGGCACCAAAGATGGGAGTTCCCACCCTTTCTTAGCATCCTGCCCAGATGACCAGTACAAGGGGAAGAGGCAAGAGTGAAGCATAATAACTTTCAGTATCAAATATAAAACAATATAGTCATCTTTTATATTTTAATACTAGAAAAAGGTAATTTGTACTGTGTCACATAATATTATAGTTGACTCACACAACTTGTTTCATTTAAGAAAAGCTACAGAGGGCTGGAGATGTGGTTCAGTGGTGGAGTGCTTGGCTAACATGCATGAGGCCCTGGGCTCCATCTCCAGCACTGTAGAAGAAAGAAAGAGAAAGAAAAGGGGGTGGGGGGAGAAAGAAAGAAAGAAAACTACAGATTCCTTACAAATATTTAATCTGATCAAGCTTATTAAAAAATCCTTAAAAATTATCAGAATCAGATGCCTACAAAAGGCTGTAGGGAACAAAGGAGTGTTTTTTCAGGAGATACCTTTTTTCATCTATTGGACTAGCAAAAATTATGAAGAATATTGGTATACAGTATGATCCAGGATATAAGAAGCCATGCAATCCATACACTCAAAGGGAGTTAAAAAGTATATATTGTTACATCTTTGGACAAGGGTAATATGATACCCAATTTAAGTGTGCATTTTCTCATATGCAATTCTAGTTTTAGAAACTTATTCTGAGGAAACAATCAGATAAGTGCAAAATGTAAGACCACATACACACATGCTAAGAAACAATGTTTGAGATAAAGAAAAAGGGTGGCAACAACTTCAACATGCAACTACTGAGATTTAAGTATGCTATCATATCTTTATATCATGAAATATAGCCATTAAAAAGATTCAGAGAAATACTGACATGGAGAAATTATTCACATTAAATTTTAAATTCAAAGGGACACAGAATAGAATTACAGTATTATGCCGCTGTTATTTACTCGATAGTTTATAAATGCACAGAAAAAAAGGCAAAATAATATACTCTAAAATTTTAATGTTTCATTTCTGGTGTGATATTTTGGTTACTCTTATTTTCATCTTAGTTCTCTTCACTATTCCCCATGATTTTAAACCAAATTGTAATCTCAGAAATTTTTAAGGTAAACCATCAAAAGTATATATAATGCTACTACTATATATAGAATTATTTTGTAAATTGGGCTAACCAGATAGAAACCTATATGGAGGAAGCACAGAAAATATTGTAATACAATACACAATAATGATGATGGTTAGCATCACCACAAAATCTTGGTGGCTGGAAATTGAATAGAAATTAAAAGGCTGGCAAATGTTTTTTCCCTAAAATGCTCAAACATTTGAAAGACACTTTAAGAACAAAAACATCTATTACAACCACCCATCATCAATAACAATACCAGCAAGAAAAACAGTACCCCTTACATTTGTAAAGATCAATTTTGCAAGCAATTTTTACAGTATCCTGGTATTAGCTCCATTTTGGATACGAATTTATCACTCATTTTCACAAATTTAAATCACATTACACTTCTGTTTTTCACAACTATTGCAAGCATTTAGTTAAAATGTATTCACTTCGAAATTAACTTCGATGAAGTAACTAACACTTAAAAGTTAATCTCTACTTCCAGTAAGGCAGATGCAAGCTGCATTGTATTTCGTCTCCTTCGCAAAACCTTGTGTAGGACATGGTTGTTGATTGTTAGTAGAGGGATTAAAAATGCTTTATTAACAATGTTTAATTGCGGGAAGGAGGTATATTCCCGGTGTTCTAATATTGCACCTGAAATCTAATGAAAAAATAAATAAAAAGGAAAATGTTAACTTCTCTGAAAAACCCGCCCGCGCGCCACATACCTTGATTCGTGCTTTCTCTATAAATTCTAGAGGGGCTTTCCCAAGCTCCAGTCCAGCTCCAATCCAAGGAATCCATCCCTTGATGCACGGAGGTCTACGCAAATTCTTTAGTTGAAGGCATAAGAAAAGAGCAACGCAACCCAGGGCTATAATCACTGTTGGGGAAATCAATTCTGTATTTTGTTCCATCATTTTCCAAAATGAAAGAAGTTTGACAAAGTCCTGCTGACCTGGCACTTTCTCGTACCCTGTGGGCTAGGGAAGACCCTCCGAGTCTCCCAATCTTTCCGCTCCAACTTTTGCAGCTAATTCTCTTTCGTAATTGTAACTTCCTTTCCCCGCCCCAATTTTTAGGTGATGTTTGCATCATCGCTCCCTCCCACCTCCTCTTCTATTTCAAATCCTGGCTACCACCAAAACCAGGCAAGGGCTGGGCTGGGCTAGATGGGGCGGGGCGGGGCGGGGCTGGAGGGAGGGAGCAAGAGTTGCTGCCATGGAGACCTAGGGACAACTGCTTAACCGGCGTCTTTCTACCCGCCAATCAGAGAAGTCGCGGAGTCCGGCGGACTACATTTCCCAGAAGCCTCATAGCTCCGCTTTGTTTTTCGGCTCTTGACTGGGGCCGCTGGACCACTCTAGTTTGGGGCTGCTAGAAAGGCGCGGGTTCACCCAGCCTTTCTGGGGGAAATGGTCTCTACCCGACCGCTTGCGGGTTGAGAAGGGGCCGCCGTGGCAAGTTGGCAGGCCAGCGCAGCGGGTGCACCGGCGAGAAGGGGTGCATTGTCGTCCACACCTGCTGCTGAATGTCTAACCCGGAGGATGAGGAGAGGCTTTTGCCACTCGCCCAGAGATGGCCCCGAGCAAGCAAGTTCGTACTGTCCGGCTGCGCGGCTACCGTGGCCGAGCTAGGTACCCGGCCGCCCACACCTGGGCCTCCTCGGCAAGTCGCCGCGCCGTGGCGCTGGGGGAGGGATGGGCGCGCTGCTTCGCTCCAGGCTGTGTGCATCCCAAGAGGTTGCGCCCTCTTCTTGCACGCCTGCCTGGCCAAAGCAGCAGGGTGGAGGCAAGGCCAGCTTTGGGAGAAGGAATTGAAGGTCTCTGAGGTGCTTTCGGTCCAATTTCGTCTAATCTCCCTTAGAGATGTGCTGTTGTGTCCGAATGTATACTTTTAGAAGCTTCATAAGCTGTCATTCCTCTCAATGAATCATTTTCCTTTTGGTAAGGATGGCCTTTTTAAAAAAATACATTTTTCATCCTTATTGGGATCATCTGACAAGATTTACACACTTAGTCTCATTGTCTTTTAAATCCAAGTTGTGGATTTACCTTGTGGGACTTCAATTATTAACCATTCATTGTTGAGCATGGATTTAACATCTTCCAGTTACCTGACCTCTTTGAGTTGAACTCATCTATATTGTGTTTACTTTACAGGAAGGATCCTGAGAAGTCAATGATATGTAAATACTAAATTCAAGGCAGGGCACCTATTAATTGCGACATCATTGTAATTACTACAGTAGTAGGGCCTGAGGATATACAGTTGAACAGTTCCTGTTCTGACCTTCTTACAAGGCTGGTGGGAAGACATGCAGAGAAAGACAATTACAATGTGCTACTTATTATGATGAAGCTATTTTTAGGTTATCATAAGAGCCTAGAAGAACTGTTTGATCTGCTAAGTGAGTCAGAGCAAACTTTGAGAGACCACCCAGAGGGAAATTATGATGCCCTTGCATGATCAGGTGGTGTTTCTTCCAAGGGTTTTGTGAGTAGAGTGCCTGTGTGTTCCCTGTGAAGCTTTAACTGTGTATTTCAAGATTACCCTTACATTTTCTTGCCCATTAAACACACACACACACACACACACACACACACACACACACAAAAGAGGAATACCTCTGATGCATTAATCATTTGTGAATGTTAGTCCTGTTCTAACATGAGTTTATTTTGCATTTCTGGCAGAGCCAGCACATGCTGTTGTTTGTCTTTTGTACTCTCACACTTGCCCTTTGCCCCTACCCTGTCCTTTCCTCTCAAAGCTGATGGAGGGATTTTATTTTTCATTGTTTTTCCTGAAATAAAATTCATCAACTTTAAAAGAAATCTAAAGTGAGATTGCTGAATAATTAGATGTATTTCCAGTTTGTTTTTTAACTGATGTTTCTCCTTATGACTCAATGGCTTTTTGTGCAGGAAGACTGCTATTGTAAAAAATTCAGGGAGAGAACTGTGTGCGGAATGGAGATGGGAAGCAAGGGATTCACAATATTGGATGATTCTGAGTACAAATTTTACAAATTGATTCAAGGTTTTACAAATTGATTCAGGATCAGACCCCAAAACATCTAGTAACCAGAAAGAAAAAAAAATATTTTGAGAGGCATAATTTGTACTTAGAGGCTCCTGTTTCTTGTGACTTTTCTTCAGGTTCTTATGTCAATACAACATTGCTTAATTCTCCATATACAAGCTAATTCTGATTCAGGGAAACTATTGGCAAGATATTCCAAAGTGGTAATATTTAATATTATTTTCCTTCTCCCCACTCCGTCTCCTCTTAGAAAAGGCGTGCTCAATTGGGTGCTGTGGCACAGGCCTTTAATCCTAGCTGCTCTGGAGGCTGAGGCAGAAGAACTGCATATTTGAGGCCTGCCTGGGCAACTTACGTAGGCCCTGTCTCAAAAAATAAAAGGGTCCAGGGACATAGTTGAGTGGTAAACCCTGGATTCAATCTCCAGGACCAAAAAAAAAAAAAAAAAAAGAAGAAGAAGAGAGAGAGAGAAAGAAAAGGCATGCTGAAGATTTGTATTAGGTGGTGATCATTGAAATCTTATGTCAGTAATGTTCATGAACCTGTCCTAATGTGAATAAAATCAAGTTATAAGCTTGATTTTCCTTATATGGATCAGGTAGCTTAACTCTGTTTCAAGGTAAAAGATCCATCTCTACTTCAATATGTAAACAGAAAAAGGTTTTACAAGTATAGCTGATAACTTGTAAGGAGCCTACAAATATGCCACGCTTAAACTTATCAGTGCTGGAAAACAACTAATATGTCTTAATTTAAGAAATATTGAGCATGCCACCCTTCTATATAAAAGAAGACATTATGAACTCCATTGAATCTTCTGTATCTCAAATATCAGGGCTATGATTCGTTTGCATGTGAAAAATCACCCATGAAATTATAAAATTCTGCTTTATCTTGCATTTATGATAGTACATAAGAATACATAGTACAGTGTTCTAAAGTTAAAACAGATGTTAAACAATCATGGTTGCAATCAGGAGGACACCACAGAATATGGATATTTATTTTCATTGTAGAGGGAAAAAACTAAAGTTACTAAAGTAGATTATTGATTGAAATCTTGGAATAAAAAGAACTCAAGGGTTTTTTCACTTTTTGACTTTTGATTGGTGATCCAGTTTGCTCTGGTGCCCTGATTCTTAAATTTGGGAGTGTCTGAGAATCAATTTGAAACCCTTGTAAGTCTGCCAAATTAGAGTACATGGGCATGGGACTAGAAAATCTGTAATTCTAAAATTTGACAACCAATAATCTTGGGAAAACATTAGTCCTATGATTTTAGAATTTTTGCTTGTTTCTCTGAATGTTGTGGGTTTTTTCCCCTCGCTTGTTTGTTTTTTGTTAGCAACCTTTCCCCTCGATCTTACAAAAACTCGACTCCAAATGCAAGGAGAAGCTGCTCTTGCTCGGTTGGGAGACAATGCAAGAGAATCTGCCCCCTATAGGGGCATGGTGCGCACCGCCCTAGGAATCATTCAGGAAGAAGGCTTTCTAAAGCTTTGGCAAGGAGTGACGCCCGCCATTTACAGACACGTAGGTATTTATCTTGATTCTAGCTGGTAAGTTTGTTATGAGTCTTGTGTTTGTCTCCTCTGTGTTTCCTTTTAGCTGTATCCAAAAGCCAGCTAAATTTTTTTCCCCTACTGATGATAAATGAACATATAATCAATCTCTTAGGAAGAAAAAGTTATCTATTGTTACTAAGGAGTTACTATCCTAAATTTTTAGAAATGCATACCAAAGTATTTAGGGATGAACTATCATGATATCTGGGAAGTACTTCAAAATAATTAAGAAAAAGAATGAAGTACATTTTGCAGTTGATAAATTTTAATGGTAAGTTATATATTATTTACTTTGCTGTTTGAAAATATTCCTAATAAAAAGTTTTTTGATGGTTTAAGAAAAAAGAAACATGAACAATGGTTACTTTCTTTCACATCAGAAACTTCAAACACAAATTTACCTTTTTTTAATGTTCTTTGAAAATTTAGATATATTTACTGTAATGCCAGATCTCCTCTGTCCCATACATCAGAGACCAGGCTGCTCTAAAAGAGAGCAGAGATCCCTGCCTCATCCACTTCTGGCCACAGGGAAAAGGCAACATAGGTGACTTCTGCCTTACTTCCCCAGGGTGCCTAACTAGCTCTGTGGGCCATTAGTGATAAAGGTGGTGAGATAGTAGCAACTGGCTATATATAGTGGTACACACCTGTAATTCCAATGGCTTGGGAGGCTGAGGCAGGAGGATGGCAAGTTTTCGGCCAACCTCAGCAACTTAGTGGAAGCAGGATAGGTGTGGTATTTTAGTATTTTTCTCTTTTACATGTATAATGTTTCCTTAAGCATATGGTGATAGACCCTTGATCAGAAAATTGCCCAGACTGAATATTTACTGGCATCATATTTTTAAAGATGCAATTCTTCAGATGAAAAAGAGCATATTTCTCAAGAAATAACCACAAGCATGCATAGACTATTACGGTTTTCACACTTCATATATTCACAATTATCTTAAAATATGGGCTAAAACTTGCTGAAATATCAAGAAAATCTCTCTGTATGAATACCAAGTGCTGATTTTAATAATTTTACTTTCCATCTTTTAAAATATTTTCTCCTTTGTGTGCTAGTGTTTTGTGTTTCACCTCTTTTCATTTGTATTTTTTTTACCACCATCTTTGCTTTACCAATAAGATTCATTTTTTGAGTTTGAAATGTTACTGAAAACATTATGTTAATATAACAAATTCAGTGAATTATATATGTTAATCGAATGTAAATACCTGTTGTGTGCCAAGGTACATATGAGGGCATCTGACATAATAAGAAAAACAAACAGAACCTGCCTGAAGCTTGTGTTCTGATGGAAGGATCAACAAGAAGAACAAGTTGATCACTAATGAGTATGATAGTTGCTATGTGAGAGTGTGCAATGCTTGCCTAGAATACTGGGGGAAAGATTGGAGAGCACTTCCTGAAAAAATATATTGGAGTTGAATTCTGAAAGATTAGGAGGAGTTAGCAAAACAGAGAAGGAAGAACCTATTCTAGAAAGATCAGTGAGGGTCCTACCCCATTTTGAGAAATATCAAGAAGACTGTTTCAGGAACATAAATTACATAAGAGAAGGATGCAACTAGAGAGAGTGTCTAGGTCAGGGTAGATTGTTCTCTTATTTTTTCAGCATAGAGCTGAATTTGGCCTTTTTAATGATCTATTTTATACAGTATACTCTGGAGGTCGGATGGTCACATATGAACATCTCCGGGAGGTTGTATTTGGCAAAAGTGAAGATAAGCATTATCCCCTTTGGTAAGTTTTGTTTTGAAAATAATATGCTATAGCTTCAAAGACTATCTGTTTATCTATTTATGTAAAACTGTATATTTGTTACAATTACAATTGCTTGGGCTTAAAAAACAAATAATTGCAATATAAATCCAAATAATAGAGTGTTTACTGAAAATTGTAAACAGACATAATATGCATATGTAGAAATATTTAATATTTTAATAATGAAAGAATTATAAGGGAGCACTGTTATTATTATTATCATCATCTTGGTTTGGTGACTATAAATATAACACATTAAACCATTGGATTATGTATATTTTATGGTTATAACACTCAAAAGACATTATTCTCAATTTCTAATATTAGAATTCTCAATATTAGAAATTGAGAATAATGCTATTTTTGATGATATGATTTGGTAAGTGTCAGGCTTTACGTATCTGATAAAATCCTTAAAATTTTTCTTGTTTAGTGCATTTGAGTTACCTGTATACACATATTTTATTCAGACATCACTGATCCCAGAATCAAATTTCTAAATGAAAAATATATCTTAGAAAGAAGACACACAAAAATGAAGTAACCACTCTTCCCTTTGGATTTTAGTCAGATGAAAATAATAACTTTTCTTCCTCCAGCAAGCTGACCTGTGGTTAATGCATGCTTCCGCCCACACACACACTGTGTATGGCTTTTATATTATTAGATGTTAGTGTGTGATCCATTTCTTTAAGGCTGTGTCAAGGGGAAGTAAACCATCATTCTCATTTTGTACAAGTTTCATTAAGTAAAAATAAGAATAGTAAAATCTAGTCCTCTAAACTTAAGCAAAATGCTTGCTTGTTTTCTGTCAGTACTTAGCCTCCTTTTTGAATGATTTTAAATTTCTTTAAAAATACCTGTTAGTAGATTTGGCAGTCTTATAATTAACAGAGAATGGCAAGTTTCCTATGTAATTTTGTTTTGGTCTCTTTTAATTATTTTTGGAGCATAAGGAAGGCATAGTAATAAACATACATTCTGTGAGCATTTGTCTTTTTTAAACAAGCCTGTTTTAGCAAACAATTTTCCATTAGAATATTCTCATTCCCTAATGTTTAGATTGCAAATTTAGAAGCTTGGGAAAATGCATAAGAATTTAGGGATTTGAAGACATAAACTAATATACTTCATTCTCAGAATGTAAAAATGAAGAATGTATCAGATTGACTTTTTACCAAATCCTCATTTCCCTTTAAATGTAGGTTCCTCTGACACTCCTGTAAGTACCTCCATCTTTGACTTTCTGGATATTGTACTCTTTGACTCTTTCAGTATCTCTTCTGGTTTCTTCTTTGCCTCTTTGCTGCTGTTCCCTGCTGGCAAGACTGAGGTGGCTCCTTGAAAGTCAAAGACCAGTCTTGGTCATCACTGTTTTGAAAGGGAAGAGCACCATGCTGGGAACAGTTTCTATTCACCTAGTGTCCACTGAACTGGATCTCTGCTCTCCTCCTGTTTGCTGTGCTCTTCCACTCCTGCAATCTCAACCACAGCTGCAGGCTGCTCAGTTCCAAATCAGCACATATAGTTCGGACCCTCAACTTCTAGGCTGTCTCTGATTCAAGTTTTTCTCTGCAATAACATATTTTTTCATGCCATTAATCTTTCTAAGACTCATATTGTCATCATGTCATTGCTTATTAACAACCATAGTGACTTCCAGTGACCAACCTATGCTGGTCTTTTAGCAGAGTACCTTCTTTAGTCCTCCCAGTGCATATCCTAGAACATTGTGATTTAGAATCAGACAGAGATGAACTCCATTTTCCACTCTTCTACTGTGTTACCTGGGCTTCACTTTTTTTTAAAATCTTCAGTTCCTCAGCTATACAAGTAATAGCTACCATTAAGCTTTTGTAATTTTTAGGAGTTGATAAGATAATGAATGTTATGTCCTGTCACTTAGAATATATAAAACAGAAACCATAAAAAATAGGTTACTATATATAATACAAATAGACCTCCTACAAATCAAATGCAATGGAAGAATAAGGACAGGATTGTCAATAGTTTCCAAAAGAAGAAATATAAGTGTTCATTAAACATGTAAACATACGCAACCTCCCCAGTAATTAATTTAAGGGGAATCAATTAAAACTATCTTTATGCAGTTAAGGGAAACATAAGTTATTATAGACTATACTTTTTGTAGTGTAAACTACTGGTTAAAAATTCTACATGTGCAATCTGTTGACTCAGCTCCTTATTTATGATTATAGTCATTTTGTCTAGTTTTGCTCACTGTTGGCTGATGGGGGAGGAAAAAGACTAGACTAGGAATGGGAAAAGTTTCTTCACAAAGAGCAATATTTTCAAAGCCCTTCACTTGGAAAACTACTAAAGTAGTAGTTTTAAAAATTTGGTGTACCCATTTCTATGAGGTTGATTACATCTCTGCTGTTTTTCTCATCTGGTAGTCAGAATTAAACTACAGCTAAATGATTCAAGTTTTTCTCTGCAATAACTTTTTTTAATGTTATTGTTTATATCTTAGAAGCATCCACCCTTTCCTTTGGATTTCAGGCCATGTAAGATCTGAAAGTGCAAATCTTAATTTTAGTTCCTTTTGGTCCTTTACCCTCCTGTCACTAAACAACCAAACCATCTATTTTTTTCTCTGTGGTTCATCTGGGTATATCCTTTTTTTTCACTTTGTCTTAAATTTATTACCCAGGGCCTGTCCCAGCTTAGTACTGGTTCACTGTAAAATTTGTGAAATTAATGGCAACTTTAAAAACAATGTCTCTTTTTACAATTAGGAAGTCAGTCATTGGAGGGATGATGGCTGGTGTTATCGGCCAATTTTTAGCCAACCCAGCTGACCTAGTGAAGGTTCAGATGCAAATGGAAGGAAAAAGGAAACTTGAAGGAAAACCATTGAGGTAAGTTTTCCAGTTAATTGGTGCTTTTGCTTCCCTTTGATATCATCATATTTTGAATATTTATTTAATGGATTTATATTTTTTCCAATCCAGTATTCGGTAAAGGTATTAATACTGTTTTTTTTTTTTTTAATTTGGAAGCTATATTTATGAAGAGGAGAGCTGAGCTATATCTTTTCTTTGCATGACAAAGTGTCTATCTTCTCTGTCATGTGTTCATAACTCTTTGCTGCTATCCCAGCCAACATTGTTAGATTTGTCTCCTATTGCAGGTTGATATAAAGAATTTTATTATTAAGGTTTGCCCTGTTATGCACCCCAGCTTTGCCACTGTGGTTTGTATGGTGTCATTCACTTAACATTTCCAGTCTATTTTCATCTTTAAAAGGGGTTCTCTCAAAAGGTTTTCGTGATGGTAAACATGCCTAGCTGCATAACATTGCTTTTCTTGCTGTCTTCCAGAAAGAAGGGAATTAACAAGATCAATCTTATGTTCCCATGGTCTTCTCTAATCTAATTCCCCCTACATTCTAAGGCCCTTTAAGGAAGATTTTTTTTTTTAAATTATGCCTCTGTGATATAAAATCTTCCCATTACATTAGCCTATATTAGCAAAGTCAGCCTTTCCTCAAAGGGCAGTTTATTAGAAGAGCCACTTAGCCAGTTTCCCCTGGGAAAGGGCCAAATTTTGCATATAGATAGATCATTTCCAGGAAAGAGGGAAGTGCAGGATAACCTGAGTGGAGTCTAAATCCTCCAGGTCTGCAGCAAAGCCAGAGGTGGAGGAGGAGGGTTTGGAACCATCTTTAGGAGGCCACCCCTGACCACTTCTCTGTACTCACTTCTTCTCTAGCAGATGCTGGAGGATGAGGTTGGGCTGATATTGCCCCATCCCCCCTTCAGCCTTCAGAAAATGGGTAGATGCCTAGCAGAGGAGAAAAGACACAACTCTGACTTAAACGAGGAGTTTACAGAGCCCCATTTGGTCATTTTGTAACAACTTCTAATGACTTTGAATAGAGAAAAGTGATGTAGCCTTGACTGGAGAGAAAAGTGTTGGGAAGGCAGAGGCAGGAGGATCGGGAGTTCAAAGCCAGCCTCAGCAAAAGTGAGGCGCTAAGCAACACAGTGAGACCCTGTCTTTAAGTAAAATACAAAATAGGGTTGGGGATATGGCTCAGTGGTCAAATGCTCCTGAGTTTAATCCCCGGTACCAAAATAAAAAGCTATGTTTTAAACTGATTCCCCAGGGTTTTAATCCTCTTTTTTATCCCTAACGCTGGAAATTTTGGGTTTGACTATACTTAATGTTGTAGTAAAGAGCATAATCCTTGGGATCAGCCCAAGGGTCCAATCCAGCCTCAAGCTTTACTACAGTTTAGCTCTGTAATAGTAGTCAAATTCCTTAACCATTCTAGCCTCAGTTTCCTCACATATAAATTGGAATAATAATACACATACCTCAGAAACCTTTCAAGATTAAAATGCATCTCATGTCTAAAGTGACTGCTACTTAGTAAAGGTACAATACATTTTAGCTACAGTGATCATTTGTGATTCCTTGTAGTATAATAGCAATTATGCATCTCAAGAATGTCATATTTTTGATGTGATTCAAAGAGTAAAATACCTTAGTAAAATCCATACAGCTGGTAAGTGGTAAATGTGACGTTTGACTCCAGATTTTTTTCTGTCCATATCAAGCCCAGACTTTTCTTTTACATCAGAGGCTCCCAGATTTGATTCATGCTTCAGCACCATTTTTCACCTGTCTACAGAAATGTGAGCAAAATAAAGATAGGATAGCAAATTTTCATAAAACTCAAATCATTTAATTTTAAAAATTCTTAGAATATTGCGCATTCTACTTTTGATCTATAAATATTCTTTCTTTTATGAGGTTATAGGAGAGTGATTTTCTTTTTTATTATTATTGTTTGTTTTATTTTTTATTTTTTACTGTGATGTTAGACATCTAATCCAGGGTCTTGCACATGCTAGGCAAGGGCCTTACTGTTAAGCTACATCTTTAGCCCTAAGAATCAATGTTTTTTTTAATGTTGTTTGACAAATTTTAAAAATTTGCATGTCCCCTGCAACATTAGTAAGAGGCATCCAGAAGTTCTGACTGTCACTGTTTCCTCCTATATTTAATATGCCTACCAATGATATGTCAAGAAAGATATTTTGATCTTTTTTAATAATCTGAGAAGGTGACACAACTTATCATGATTTGTATTAAAAAATGTTTAAATCAAATGTTGGTGTTCTAAAGGATTAATAAGTTTATCTGCATATTAGACTTACATGAATTCCTTTAATTTCTAACAGTTCTGAGTAAATGTTATTTTACTCTATAACAGTTATAGGAGAAGCTTATTGGATTGCATTCCATTCTCAAGAGTACACCAACTTTTCACATTTCATTATTATTCTCCTTAGATTCCGTGGTGTGCATCATGCTTTTGCAAAAATCTTAGCTGAAGGAGGAATACGTGGGCTGTGGGCAGGCTGGGTCCCCAATATACAAAGAGCAGCACTGGTGAATATGGGAGGTAATGAAAACTTTATTGAATTCTGAGAAGTTCAAACAACTTAATTCTTGCATGCTCTTGTATCAGGGATATGAACATTTTTATTTCATTATTTATAATAACATATATCAGCCACAGGATCCATATGTTTTATGTTTATTATAATTGAATATATTTCCTGGAATATTTTTACCTTATTCTACAGTAATGTATGACAAGGATTTTCTTCTTAAGAAAAACCAATTATGGAAATAAGGAGAAAAGACCAAACTATTTCTAATCTTCTCTCTAATCCTTACCTCCTTTTAAGATTGATGGTCATTATATCCACAATGTCCAAATCCTTACCCCTGGCAATCCTCCTATTCCTATATAATCCACCTTGTTCAGACTGGCACCCAGGCCAGGAAAGTAAACAATCTCTTATTCATTTCTACCCTTCGCTTCTCATTTTCAGTTCTCAGTTTCTTTTCTTATGCCTTAAATATGAACAATTTTTATTTGTCAGTTAGACCTGAATAAAGCTGGAAGAACATTAAATTTTTTAAAAAGAAACCTCAGAAAAATACTAATTTATTTTTATTTAAGACATGCTATTAAAATAGTAATATATACTACTGGTGAAGTTTTTAGTTACATTGAACATTAGAGAAAATATGAGAGAAAAAGTATTTTTTAAATAAAGAAATTATGGAAGTACTTTGGATTAGACAAAGAGGAATGAAGGGAGGGGAAGGGGAATGGGAATAGGAAAGATAGTAGAATGAATCAGACATAACTTTCCTATGTTCATATATGAATACATAACCAGTGTAATTCCACATCATGTACAACCAGAAGAATGAGAAGTTATACTCTATGTAGGTATAATATGTCAAAATGCATTCTACTATCATGTATAACTAAAAGAACAAATTTTAAAAAAATAAACACAACATTACTGAAAAAAAAATAAATTATAGGTTGATAGGTGACTCCACTAAGAGAGCAATTTTAACTTCAAAATATAGAACATGTTAAAATATTTTGTAAGAAGAGGTTAACAGCACAGCCATCATCAGACTGAGATAATCAGTTGTTAACTGATAATAGAGAAAGATGTGAACCATGGATGCTGATGCACATATAGCAAAAGGAAGACAAAACTTTCATAGGAAGTAAATATAGGAAAGGTCACAGCAACGGTGAAAAAAGGAAGCTGCTGATCTTTCCTGTTTCGAAAAACAAGAGCACAGAATTTGAGGTGCAGAAAAGAAAGCCTCATTCCTGCCCTCCTTGGTTTCATCTCTGAGAGCAGTCAGTCACGTTTGTGCATGAGAAGGCAGCCTTCACACTCACCACTACCATCTTCTGAGTTCTTAAAAGTTTCCCCCTCTCCAGAATGCACCTATTATCCTTAAAGTAACCATTTCCACAGTGCCAACCATCAGAACCTCTCAACTAGACCACTGCCACAGCCATCCATCTGGTCTCCCCCTCCAAATTTGTACCCAGCATCCAGAGTGAGTCATCCAAAGCAAGGAAATGCACATGTTATGATGCCCCTAAAACCTGGCACTGGCTTCTCATTACCCACAGAACAAAGTGGGAATTTTGGTGCATGATGTAGATGGTCTGTAGGATTTGCCTTGTGCTTTCAGAGAACTGAACGGTTCATTGATCCTGTTGGAAAGAGTGAAGCAACAAGTCATGAGCCAAAAGGTTCCACTTCCTGCACATGCATAGCTCTTCTTCACCCCTCTCCTTTCTGTCCTCTTCCCTGTTCTTCTGTTTAGTTTTCCTTCACAGTTCCTCTATTAAGAGTAATATTCTTGTCTAAAGAATTCTTCTCCACCAATGTATTGTTCCAGAACCTTCTACAATCCCTTTAACCACAGCATGTTATCTTAGATGCTCTTTTGTGTGTTTCTATAGTTCCCTGTGCCTATTTCTGCTGCTTGTAGCTCATTTCATTGCTTTCTAATGTCTGTATGTTCCACTAGATATGAGCCTGTTCCACTAGATACAAGCCTCTTGAAGGCAAGGACTGTGTTTTTATTCATCTTTATTTTCCCCATCTTTCATGCATTAAACATTTGATGAATTAGTCATTAAACATTTGATGAATTAGTCAATGAAAGAATCCTTTCTAAGTCCAATTATATGATTCTAAGAAATTTATAAGGAGCACTTTCAAGGGTTCCAGTAGTGTATCACTTAAAGGAAGTAAATCTATTTTCTGTTTTGCTATTCTATCCATTTGTGTCTAGTATATCACATTATTACTGGATATTTTGGTTTTCAGAGAACCTTTCTGATTGTAGTTTATCAATTTGTTGCCTAAGATTATTGCCCAGATTTCTCTTCCAAATTCTAGTTACTTACTCAGAATCTTTTTTTGGGTATCTTAAGTATATTCCTTTGAATGTGTCAAAATCAGGCTCTATATAAAACCATCTTTGTTTCCATTCTTTATAATATCAAAATATAAAACAATCCCTTCTGCTATACAAGTGAGAAACCTAGGCATGACTTTTGGCTCTTCCTTTCATTTGTTTCTTATTTCTAAATAGTCACCAAGTCTAGGCAATGTATTCTTATAGATACAGTGCGAATTTAAATGCTTCTCTCCATCCATGGAGCCACTTGTTTATAAATGATGGAGTTTCAACTCAACCTAACTTTGACCCCAAAATGAATTTATTAATTGGCTAAAAATTCCAGGGGTTGAGCTCAGGTTAGTCATAGCTGGATTCAGGTATTCAAATGATACATCCAAGTGTCACCTCTTCCTCTTTTCCTCTTCCTCCATCCTCTGCCTGAATGAATGCTATATTTCATTCCGGTACACATTCCTGCCACAAGCCAGTATACTCTTTACCAAAAGACATTCACTGTTGCATAAATGAATATTTAAACCTTCTTTTTCTATTGCCAGATTTAACCACTTACGATACAGTGAAGCACTACTTGATATTGAATACACCCCTTGAGGACAATATCATTACTCATGGTTTATCCAGGTAAGTGATTGTTTTAGTATGACCCTGTTTTTTTTTCTTTTTATATTATCACCCTTTCTGGCTTTTGTGGCATAAATTCCAACTTGGGGACACTCGATCAGGAATCTAGTGGTATCACCCTTAGAGAAGGATGATAGTACACTCATTAAGAGTAATATTTTTAAATTTTATTGCAGTTAAAATAGGGAGGAGAGATAAAATTACAAGGCTATTTCAGATTAAACCTCCCAAAATATTTACAACTTGATGGGGCCATCCCAGGGTCAATTTGTGTTAAAGTTGCTGTGTAGGCCCCTGTGTTGACACACAAACAGTGCATCCAGCCTCTGCCTAGGGAGCTGACCAACAGGAGAACAAGACAAGTATAAAAACACTGCATAGTAAATGCTGAAACAAAATGGTCACTGGAGGGTTCAGAGGAGGGAGAAACAATAACCACAAAGGCAGAATTAGATAAGAATTTGAAGAAATGTGACTCTTCTAGAGATGAACAGAAAGAAAAGCACTCCAAGCAGGGGCATTTCCTCAATCTCTCCATATCACAAGTTCAAATTACCCATGAGAATGAATTGGTTTTTAGATGTCTACTATCCTTAACATTGGAGTCATTTCATTTAGCTTCTGTTCTTGTTTACAAATTCTGGATCCCTCTAGGCTATTGAGATAACCCCCAAAGAATATAAAATAGTGTCAAACCAATGATATTTAGAGATACATATATTTACTAACACACACCAGGAGCACTCTGGACTCAGGTCCTTTGCTGTTCCTTCCTTCAGGTCTTCACAAAGGGGACTCAGTGATGCTGTCACCCTCTAGAACTTTTCCCTGCCTGCCTGTCACCTAGTTTTTCCCTCTCAATCTACCCCATCTTATTTTTTATAGCATTATCAACATCTGAAATTATTCATCTCTTCTTTGCCTCTCCCCACGTAGAGTGTAAGCTCTTCCAGGTCAGGGTCTACCTGCCTCATTAATGGTCTAAAAGGATGTCTGGTACCAGGAGGTGCTCAGTA